TCCTTGCAGTCTGCAAGCAGAGAGGCTCCCACCCCTTGGGGAGGTTTTTAGGGTGCAGATGGGGTTTATGAAGTACCGACCTGCCCGTAGCTCCCTCCTCTTCCTGCCCTGCGCTGACGCCCAGCGGGTCGGACCCCTGTTGCACCCGGTGGCCGTCAGCACCGAGCGGCACTGCTGGGACCACAACGTTGCAGTGGGTTCTTCCTCTTCAGGCCTCGCTGCCGGCCAGGTGCTTGTCCTGCCGCCTGCCCTAGACCTTGTGTAATGTCTTCCGAAGGCGGCACCGGATATTTGGGGAGTTTCCAATCCAAACGGCCAGGAGCGCTTGCTTGATAACGTTCCGCAGGAAGACGAGGTGCTCCTGGTGCACAAAAACCTCTCTGTGCTCCACCTCCTTCCAGGGGGAAGGACTTCGTGGTAGCTAGTCCTGGAGCTCCGTGCAGGTCTGGTTAGAAGAAGGAGGGCTTTGGTGGTGAGGACCACTCAGTACCTCTACAAGCTGCACCGAGTTGCAGGTCACTCATTATTTTTCCTTTCATTAAGGCTGAGTTCGTAAGGAAACAAGGCCTTTGAGGTGAGGCAGTGTCTGGGTATGTGTTCTAGTATCTCTAGAACCCAGGGCCTGACCAAAACCAAATTCAACCAAGTGACAAAGTTCTCGAAGTTAAGACAATTTCGTGAAAACAAATGTCCGTGTACAAGAAAGAGATTCTTTAAATACTCTGAGAATGGAGAGGGAAAACAGCTGCTTTCCATGGGAAGGGAAAATTGTCCATTAGGCACTAGAGATTTCACCTAAGAGAGCTTTTAAGTGCTTAGCTATAGAGATTGTGGTTGAAGTCTTAGATGCTGGAGCTGATGTACCATAAAACACAAGACTGTAGGTTATCAAGTTTCACTTGGTCTGATTCACTCACTTACTGATTCACTGAATGCTTGTGCTCTTCGACTGCCTCGGCTATTGTTTAGGATAAGCTGGAATTGCTCAGGGAGAAAACAGCGAGACAAAGGAAAAAGAAAAACATCCAACTCTTTCATTGAGAGTTTCCATCTTAAAAATCTGTCTCTTTGTGTATGTGCACAGATTTGTTGTCTAGAATGGTCTGTGTTCTGTGCTTCGAGGGCTGATGAACGCCAGGGGAGATCCTGACTAATTCCTGTTTCCTTTTTTCAGAGATATCATGTCCATTTATAAGGAACCACCCCCGGGAATGTTTGTTGTGCCTGATCCCCATGACATGACCAAGGTAAGGGAAGATTTGGAGTAGATTCAACTTTCTGTTTCTCGGTGCTTTGCTGTTGGTAGTTGCTTTATGGGTTTGCCCAAATGGTGTATTCCCTTGTTTAGAGGGGAGTCAGGGTGAATCTTCAAAAAAAACAATCTAGCTCTAGTTTTCTGGGCTACACGGAGATGGGCTGTATTTAAAATGGGAGGAGACTCTCAAGGAAATTGGTTCAGTGGAGAGAGATCACAGGGATCTGAGCAGCTTCCACAGATAAAGCCAGCACTTCCTCAACGAGCATGTGAACTAATGGAGCGCTGCTCCGTCTGGATTTATCCTCCTGATGCTTGAAAAACGATCATAGCAACATGAAGAACAGAGCAGCTTGAGGAAGAGCCATCTCTGGGTAGCTGTTGGCTGTGGGAGCAGCCAGTGGAGTTGGAATATCTCGGGAAACCGGAGATGTTTCACTCCGGTGAGCCGGTGCTGGGATGTGTCACCAGGCCAGCGCCCCGTCCCGCCGCGGAGCCGCTGGTTCTCCCTGGCTCCGGGGTCACACGCGGGTCTGTGCAGCCACTCCCAGCACGCAGCCTTGAGCAGAGCTGCTTCCTGGGAATCCGAACGGCTGTGACCACTCCTGCCCCGCTCCTTCCTCTCCTGGCTGCCTGCCTTGGGGTTTTCCAGAACTGGGAACTTCCACTTACGCTTGAGATAGTGAATGCAAACAGAGGCTGCTCAAATGTTCTCGATCCAACGTGTTCCTTGGTCTACCTGGTGCTGCCCTCTCTCCAGCTAGTGTCACCTCCTCTGGCCGTGCTGGTTTCTGAGGAGGTAAAGTGTGTCTTGCGGGGTTGCTTTGGCTTCTCCTCTGCTGCATACTTGGACCTGCCTGACAAACTTGGCATCCTCCAGACTCCACCAGACTCCACCTGCCCGGCTCAGGGCCTCCGGGTTTTTGGAGGTAGCACAAAGGGACCGTCTCTGCGCAGGCGGCTCCCGCACGGAGCCTTTAGCTCTGGCTTCCCTTCACGCTGGGAGCTGAAAGTGCGAAAATACCCTCCAAGGAAAATGTGGGTTTGTAAAACACCAGCCTTGGGGCTTGTAAGTAAAATCCAAGGTAGATAAGAGGACATTAAAGGAGACTGCTTGGATCCCGTCAGGAGGATGCAAAAGGAGTAGGCTTCCTTAAGAGCCCAATGGGAGCAGATTTCCTGGTACGCACTTGAGATCTTTGAGGGTAATTAGTGTGGAAAGAATAGGTTCTTAATTTCGGATCCTGGCAGAGGATATTGAGTGATTGCTTTCAATAAAGCCAAATCAGCACAAGATCATAAAACTGAGGAATGTTCTAGTACTGGCAGAAATTCTGATATTTTCTTTTTTTCTAAAATTAGTTTTTTTTTTAATTTGAAATCTGACTTTTCTTTTTCTCTCTCTTTTTACATTTTCTGAAGCAGAGCTCACTAGCCGAACTGTGGTTCAGTCTGGTTTGGCCTGTGTGTTGATGCAGGGATGGGAGGCAGCTGCCGTGGGCCCTGCCCCGGGCGCTGCTTGGCCCCTCGGGCACGGCAGAGCGGGCAGGAGCGGGAAGGAGGGAGGGCACCGCGTGGCCTGCACATGCCCTGTGCTTGTGGAAGATGCTGCAGATGATCCCTAGTGCTGCCTGGGTGGAGATTTCTTGCCTTTGGTTGGCTTTGTGGAGGATTTGACGGTGCTGCACAATTTTGAAGTGGTGCGCAAGACGGGCTTTTGTTTTCCAGATTCATGCATTGATCACAGGCCCATTTGACACGCCTTATGAAGGGGGTTTCTTCTTGTTCCTGTTTCGCTGTCCTCCAGATTATCCCATCCACCCACCAAGGGTCAAACTGATGACAACGGGAAATAACACAGTGAGGTTTAACCCCAACTTCTACCGCAATGGGAAAGTCTGCCTGAGTATTCTAGGGTAAGAGGAGACTTTGGCTGTTTTCAGGGGAAACCAGGAGGTGGCTGCAGGCTGTCTTCTGCCTCACGCATCCTTCTCAGTACGTCGCATCCTGATCGTGCCCCAGACATTTGCTTGGATGCGGCTTTATGCTTCCGTGAAGCTACGTGCAGAATCAGAGCCTTAAAGCAGCAAAACGCCCTCTAATGAAATAAGAGCCTGGCTTGTCCTTAAAAGCACCTGAGAATGGAGCAGGGGAAGCATGAAGTTCAGTGGATGCTGTCGCTTTCCTCCTGTTTCCCCCTGCAAAGACTTGGCCCAAGCACTGCATTTCTTTTGCTTTTGCGCTTCGCAGCCTGATCCTTAATGTCGTTTGAATATAGGTTTCTATGGTTTTAATTTCCTTTCTCTGTGTGGGTTTAAAAATAAATAAATAAAATTAAAAGCCGCCAAGAACTTCCTTGAGAGCCATTTAACTACTCTGGGCTTCCACCTACACATATTATGTGGGGCTGAGTGGTGGGTTAACAAGGCATCGTTGTCTTGTTGCCTGTTGAAACAGGCTCCGCTGCTGGAAATCCTTGTTATTCACCTGCTTGTTTTTTAAGCATTTATAGTTGGACTTGATGATCTTGAAGGTCATTTCCAGCTATTACGATTCTGTGAAAGTCCTGGTTGATTCAATGGCTCTTAGGGCTCTGTTAGAGGAACCCTGGACATGGTGTGATGTTCCCAGCTCCAGCTGTGATAGTTGCCAAAAAAGGAAGGTTTTTTACCCAATCTGTTGCAGCCGAGGTGTTTGTACCTGTTCCCTTCTGATGCAGAGAGCTAGTAAGAGGCAGCTGGGTGAGAAAGGGGCAGTGATGGCTCGATTTGCTGTAGGGATTCAGTCAGACAGAAGGAGTCTCGGTCTGATAGGATTAAAAGACTGCCTTTACCAGGCTGGTTCCAGCAGTGCTGTGCACATGTTACTTGCTCCAAGGAGCTGATACCCTGTCCAGGATCTGGCCCAAGGTTGGGCAGGAGGGATGCAGTTTGGATGGGAAACATTTTCCTCCAGCTTATTCATCTTCCTGATCCAGAGAGGTGAATGCCAACACCTGCAAAGCACTGAGACGTGTAGGCAGGTCACATCTCGGAGGTCTGAATGCCCAACAACTTCCATGCCAGCTGTGGTGCTGGATATGCAGTGTAGCCCTGTCCCAAAAGCTAAATGATCGGAGTGATCTAAGGTCGCTGGCCTTGGCAGAAATGGGAAACACGGAGGCAGCTGTGGATGAAAGGATGTAGAAAAGCCCATATGGGTCAGTGCATTTGTTCAGCTTGCAGGGAGGCAGATCTGTATCTAGAACTAGGCTAGTGAGGAAAGGCAGCAGAACAGCTTTTCACAATTATGCCACTCTGTGCAAAGGTTTTTGCTCTCTTATGTTTATGAAACCAGTGCCTTGTTCCTATAGCAGAGCATCCGTTAGTATTTTTTATATGAATCCTTGTGCTGAGTGTCTGCCTTGCAAACTGCCCAAGGGATGGTCTTGTCTGAGTCTTGAAATTCAGATTTCAATTCTTGTGAGCTGCTGGTTTTGACTTGCAGTGTTGGTAGCTTGTGTTGCTGCAGGGTGCTGTGCAGGATGACAGCCCGAGCTTTAATGTGCCCTATAAGAAGTTTGGAAGTGTTACTTTTCCCCAGCTCTCTTATGTGTGAGGCCCTGTGTGTGCTGGCAGTGGAGTAAAGTTTACCAGACTCTTGCTTGGCTCAGGCAGTTGAGTGGGAAAGTGAGTCTGCACCCTTACAACCTTTTCAATGTCCAGCTTTGTATATCTGTGCCACCTGTTTCTTTTCTTGTTGTATTTCTGTAAGGTATAGATGTTTCTTTGTGGCTTCCCAAGCTTTCTGATCTTTTGGTAGTTGGAGGGATGGTAGTCACTGGGCTTGTCTTGTATTTTTAAGTAATGTTTTTTTTTTTTTTTCTGTTTTGATGCCTCAGCACTTGGACCGGGCCTGCATGGAGCCCAGCACAGAGTATCTCTTCAGTCCTTATCTCCATCCAGTCTCTGATGACTGAGAACCCCTATCACAATGAGCCCGGCTTTGAGCAGGTGAGTGTTTGGGATGGGTCATCTCTGATTCTGCAGCTATTTGTCTCTTCTCTCCACAGTTTTCTTCTAGTCGTAGCATAGACTCACTGACCCAAATTCTGTTTCCAGGAGAGGCATCCTGGGGACAGCAAGAACTATAACGAGTGCATTCGGCATGAGACCATCCGAGTAGCAGTGTGTGACATGCTGGAAGGGAAGTGTCCCTGTCCTGAGCCTTTACGGTATGGAAAGGAGCTGAGGAGGGAACATAAGAAAATGGGGGAATTTCTTTCTGCCCTTTCTGATATTCTGAGAGTTCCAGGGAAAAGCAAGCCTTTAACTCTCCCAGATCCAGCAAAGAATAGTTGGTTGGGGTATTTGGATTTGTGTGGAGCCCAGGAGCTGTGTATTGACAAAGGCTGTGCTAATACGCACGATGGCTGCATCCTCTGATTAGCATTTGAGAATAAACGTACCTTGTCTCATGGCAAAAAAAGAAAATCTTGGGACAAGAGGGAGATGGCAGCTGTTGTACAAGCACATGCACAATCTGTCCAGCTGCAGTGACACTGTAGCTCATTTTGCTGTGTCCTGCCTAGCTGTACCCAGTTGTCTGGAACACCCTGTGCAGGCAGTTGATTCATTCAGCTGGAGTCTGGTGGGGGGGTTGTGAGTTGGGATGAGAGCACCATTCTTGTCATTCTGTGCTGACCATGTGTCTTCTCGTTGCCTTCAGGGGAGTAATGGAGAAATCCTTCATGGAATACTATGACTTCTATGAAGGGGTGTGCAAAGAAAGACTTTATCTCCAAGGACAGACAATGCAGGTGGGTGGCAGACAAGCTCCCTGTTGATTCCACACTGCCTTGGTGAGGGGTGTGTGGTTGGACAGCTTGGTGAGAAGCAGCTGTGTTGTGATGTGCCATTCATAAGGGTATATTTTCCTATTGGGATTCTAGTTGGATTTTTTCTTCTGACGTTCCTTTGCTCATGCAGCAGATAGGAACTCCTCTCTCTGACTCCTCTGACTGTGCTGAAAGTGGCTGACTGAACCAAGAGTTTCTAGAGGAGACAGGGGTGGAGGAATAGAGATAATATGGAAGATGCATCTAGGCGTGTTGAATACAGGAGCCTTGTTTCTGTAGGACACTACACTTTAAAGAATAGATTGTTGAGCTGTTCGCATATGAACAGACGTGTCTTCCTTTCTAATCAGCTGCCTTTTGTCTGACTCATTAAGAAATTTTGGCTCTTAAGAAAAGATGGAAGTAGTTGAATTAATGATCTATAGTTAAGCCCTTTTTTTTTTTCCTGTCAGTGCTGTCACTGGTTGTGTAATTTATAAAATGAAAGCATTCCCAGATCAGGAGAGCTCTTGTTTGAAATGAGAAATTCCCCCAAGGCAGATCTGTGCCTGACGTGTATCTACAGAGGCTACTGGACTGTACAGTGAAGTGCGATGGTGCTGGAAGGTTGTCAGGCACAGCCCATTCTTGTTTCTTCTACACGGAGCCAAGGCTTAGTTGCTTTCACTGTGAGTTTGTGAAGAACATGGGATTGGCACTGCCTTATGCTTGGTCTCCGGGGTAGCGACTACCACGCACCATTTCCTGCTCGTTTGTAAACGATAGTGTATGAAGACATCAACACAATGTGCTAGAGAGATGCCATTGTTGTCTTCACTACCCTGTATTTAAAATGAAGCCACTGCAGGGTCGGTATGAGTTGAGCACTTGCCATATGTGCTGTCTTGTTAATTCTGGAGCCACATGTTGGCTTGTGCTGAAGATCAGTGTCCCACCATTTCATATAGCCCTGGCAATGTGTCTTCAGCTTGGAATTGGGATGAAAGGAGCAAATGTTAAATGTCCAAATACTTCTCTTTTATCCAGCTACATCTCAGCTGAGGGACTTGGTTTGCAATAAGAATAGTGTCCCTTTCACTTGGAAGAGATCTGTAATACTAATGTAAAGTGTGATAAAATCTTTGCCCTCTGGTTATAGAGGCTTTTATTTGTAATATGTTTTATTTACCACCTTCCTATGGGTCTTGAGATAAAATCTTTGAAAAAGCTTACTTCATCAGAGCTACTAGTAGAAACACAGCCTGTGTCTGCCTGACCCTTCATCCATCTTTGAAGTTTGCTTGGGTTTGTAACACTTCCCAAAAGAGATTCCACACAGGAAAAAAAAATGTTTAGTCTTCGACCTCTGCCTTGACACTGAAAAGCTCAGGGATCTCTTGGTCACAAGCTGGGATTTAACCCTGAAGTCATTGACCATTCTTTGCCCAATTACTGTGCAGTTTTCTTCTTTCTGTCTCTTGTCCCGGTAAATCTTTTACACACTGAGCCTAGTTTGATGTCATGTTTCACTGTAGAACAGTAATGGTCTTTATTAATATATTTATCCCCACTTTCCTTCCAGGATCCTTTTGGTGAGAAACGAGGCCACTTTGACTATCAGTCCCTGTTAATCCGTTTGCAAGGAATTCGTCAGAAGGTGCAAGAGAAACACCAGCAGGAGAATACAGAAATAGACTCTGAGAGCAGCTCCTCTGAGACAGAGACAGACACTCAAGGTTGTTCCAAAGCTTAGAGCTGTGTCAGCAGTGGAGAGGCCAAGCTGTGGGGATGTTCTGTCTTCACAGTCTAGAGTACCCCTGACAGACTCGACAACCAAACCAGCGCCAGAGCGGAGAAAACTGCGGGGCATCTCCTGTCTCCTTTTACTGCTCTGGTGGATAATGCTGAATGAGAAGACTTCATTCTAGACAAAGCCAAGCTTGTGACAGGCTACTATTAAAAGGTACTTAACTATACTAGAAAGCTGGAGCATGTGGCATCAGGTTATTTTTTGGAAACACCTACACTGGGTTCTTCACTGGGTTCTTTTTTTTTTTGTTATTATTAAACAATGAGATCTAGACCATGACTCCTCTTTACAGCTTTTCTGTTCCTAGACAGTGAGCCCTTCCCTGGGGCCGTGCTGAATGTGGAGCTTTAGCTTGGGGAGAGCTCTGATGAGTCTGGGGTATGACAGGGCCCGTGCACCGTGTGCCCAGGTGAAACCTTTTTGTGCAGGTTGGGAGAGACAGAGACCCTCTGCTCCGCGGGAGCCCACCTACCTGATGGCTTTCTTCTAGACACTGTTCTAGACAGACCAAAGATAAAGAGCAGTGGTGGAATCTGGGCTTCTTTCTGACAGCTTTATTCAAGCCCTGGATGACTTTGTCCACTGGGAGTCCAGGAGCAAAGGGGCGAATGAAAAGTGGAAACTGCAAGAATTCATAAATCGAGTGCAGCTGTGTTCACTCTGGCATTTTGGGGGAAGGAAGCTGAGGAAATCATTGGTTCAGAGATGGCGGAGCACTTAAAAATAAGTCTAATTTGTGTAATTTTTTAAGTGTTGATTTGAAGTTAGTGTCCTAGAAATGTTTTATCTGACTGCCCTGAATTGAGCTATTCTGTTTCCTTAACTGAAGCACTCTTTGCTTTTCGCCCCTCTCGTTAGTGTAATATATATTTTTTTCTCCCCTCTTCCTCCTGCGCCCTCACTTTCAACTGTTGACTTTGAACCATTAACTCAGACTCATCACACTGAAATGCTAGAATGGGCGTTCCTAGCTAAGGAAGACACCGTCACTGAGGTTTATGCCTCGTTACTGACTGAAAATTCCTTTGCCAAACTTCACCGAGTGCAAGCTAGCTGAGTGTCACAAGGTCTAAAACTTGATGATTTGAACAGCTGTTTCAAACAGCAGCTTTTTACTTGAGCGAAGGCAAACCTCTCGCAGAGGTGTCTGCTGGCTGCGAGTGCCATTACATCAAAGATGTATTCAGTGTAACATAGGTGGAGGTGAAATATCCATTTTTTTTCCAGGTAAATAAGCCTGGTGATGATTGATTGGAGCAGTAAAATGTTTTGTTGATGAAAAGCTTAATCTATTTTTTTTACAGGAGCTTTGACAGCTAAGCACAAAGTTGCATGTTGTCTCAGGCCCTCTCCCACGTCCTTTACACACCTTCCATGTCCTCAGCCCCATTCCAGAGTCCTAGCAGTGGTGAGGGAACTTCCAACCCGGTTGTCTCTAGGAAAGGGCATAGCGAGGGGCCAAAAGCCCCCTGCAGTGTCACGTACAGAAGGGCAGTGTCCCCATGTGTCACTGAGTTATCTGGAAGCTCTGTGCTCTGAGCATCTTGCAGAACTCAGAAGCCTGCACACTGCTGTGTGAGCAGCTCTGAAAAATGGAAAGGTGGGAGCATTTCTGAATTAGAAAGGTGCCATCTAACAACTCGGGAACCTTTTGCCCTTTAGCAAGCAAACTCCCCTGGGTCTGTCATTGGTATGATTTAGGCTTAACCCCTGTCTTCCCTCGAGGGAAAGCTAAACTTAAATAGGACTCACTCAACACATATACCAGATGAGAGTAAATAAAACTCTGTTCAGCTTGAAATAAGGTCTCAGGGAGGCAGCGGGGTCTCCTGAGAAGTCATGAGCTGTGTGCTACGTTAACACCTCTTTAATCCCATTGTAAATGTCAGTTGTTTTTCACCATTCAGTAGCATTGTGGGTAGAGCTGTGACTCTGCTGCCTTCCCAAGGCAGAGCTGGTTCTGAAATCTGTTTGTGGTGCATGTGGTGTTACCATCCACTGATACAATGAAACAAGAAAATGCCTTATTGTGGACACTATTCATATAACTAGCATGTGGCTGTAAAAGAAGTATTAGTTTTATAGCTCTAATATTGTCTGTCCTACCATTTCTGAATGTTTCCATTTCAAAGTGACAATCCTCAACTGACTGCTCTAGGCAGAGATGTTTTAGCAACAGATTTTTAGACCTAATTGAGTTGAAAATATATGCACAAGAGTCACTCTAAGATACCTTGTTTATATACTATTGTACATAAGATTTTTTTTTTTTGTGCAATAAAGTTTGTTTTGGCAGAATCTAGACTGTGGTGGTACTTAGTAGAACAACTCATTCACAGAGCAAAGAAGACTCCAAAACAGTTTCTCAGCTGCTTTGGAAGTGTCACTGCTGGCTCTGAGACTCTTCATAGTCACATGTGCATCCTTCAAGACTGCTGTTGAAATAGGAGCCTGGATAACTTTGCTCTTGCTGTGACAAGGTAATTAGTGTCTGTAATCATAAGAGGTATTTCCACCTACAACAATTCAAAGGTAACAAAGTATGAATTAGTCCTGTTAACCTCTTCAAGCTAGACACTTTTTAGAAAACTTTTATTTGAAGTCCACTGTCCCTGTGTTTCAGGTGATATGCAAATAGCCTCCGAAGAAGAATTATATACAGGCACAGAATACTTAGTCAAGGTATTGCCTCCTTGGCTTCCTCTGGAGTGATTTCCTGAGAGTACAGCTCTGTAAAGAGAGCAGGCAGCCAGTACTGAGGGTCTCCTGCTGCTTGTGTATCCAGCCAGGCCATTCCTTCCTTCAGCAAGTGTTCCTGTATAGAGTGGAAACTGTGAGTAAAAGTTAACCAAAGGGCTGGCAAGCCACCGACGGTAGAGGCCTGATCTCATATTTATCCTAGGAATAAGGAAGTGTTGTAGAACTTGGACAAAAATAATTGTTACTCATCCTGAGCTTGAGGAATATAATTCAGGCACCTAATGACTCCCACCCTGTCACAGCAGGATGTCCTGAACTAACAAGATTCAAGCTTTTAACAGAGTTATCAGTTAACTGACAGGTGTCACTGGCAGCTGCAAAGTTTGTTTGTACTCAAGTTTTTGGCTTCTCCAGCTTATCCCAAAGCTGCAGGAGCAGCCACTCAACACCGTTGTTTAACCTCACAAAGCATAAGAGACCATTGTACGTACCAGCACCTGCTGCGCTCGTTCCGTCTCCCACTTCAGACTGGATTTGATCTCACTGACTGTTACATACCCCTTTTTCTGAAATTAGAAGAAAAACACCAGATACTCATAGTCATAGGCTGTACTTTAGAAAAGTGTGAACAGTTGCGTGCATAGGCCTGATCTACTCCCAGCTCAAGTTCTAGATTCATGTTCATGCTGGAATTTGTGCTTTCTATACTGTTTCCTATCCTGAAAACAGTAAGATTCTTTCATAGTGGTTGTATTTTAAAGCTCCTGACTCAATACCTCTGCCAACTGCAAGACGACTGTGTGATCCATGTTCAGTTCTGCTGGTACAGACTGGATCAGATATGTTCCACCAACAGGAATAATCCCAAAGCCATTCCCCAAGACCTTCAGCTTCTTGATTGCACGAAGGAGATCATCCCTGAGAAGCAGAGGTCAAAGCAAGGCTTTAAAGCAAGAGCCTCTCTTTTTTAAAAAAACAATTTAGGATTATAAGTGTACTCTTATTCTCTTAACCATTTCAGTTCAGAAACTACAAGTCATTAATTGTGGATCACGTGCAAGCAAATGGCTCCTTTGTTAGAGATCAAATTTGGAATCCTGTTGATCACAGCAGCACTTGAAGATGCCATTAATTTTCCCCCGTTCTTCCCCAAATGCTACTCAACTCCCCGCTCCTGTAAAACAGATACTCACTGGCTAACATCTTGAGCAAACTTTCCCCTTCCCTTCAGCACTTGCTGGTGAAGTTCTTCCAGTGTTATCAGACCTAAGAGCCAACAAAAGGGGACAGAAAATGATTACTGTATATATATATTAAAAAAAGGAGTCAAGTCTGCCTTTTGTGTTTGCTGCTGGCTTACCTCTGCCTTGATGTTTTAGACGGGGCCATCCATTGCTCCCCATTTCAAGGCTTGGGTAAGATAAGTGTCTCACTTTCTGTCTGTGGAACTACCATGCAGCAAACTGTGCCTTCCCCCACAGATGTCTCATGCCCAAGTTGCAGCTCCTTGCAGCTTTTGTTGATGCCCAAGTCTTATGCCCAAGTTGCAGCTCGTTTTGATGCAGCCTATTCTTGGTCTTGGATTGCCTTCTGAAGTGAAGAGCATCCAGTACCTTTTTCAGGCACTTACTACTATTTTGATTCTTCTGGATACTGTTGTACTCCTTTAAAGATAATCTTACTGTCAGGCTCAAAGCAGTGACTCATTTCTTACTCCTTCAGGATTGTCATTTATCACTACCGTTTCCTCAAGGTGAAGGGAATTGCAGTTTCATTACCTAAATAGGGCAGAGTTGCTTGATTTCTGCAAAAACCCATCAACGCAGGTAATTACCAGTGACCTTACTTTAATGTGTTATAAAAACAAGGAGGCTTTTCAGGGGGAATGAAGACAAAAATGTCATCTCAGCATTTTCTAAATATACTAAAGAACACAATACTGAGCGAGGTGACTCATTTTCCAGGGGGAAAAGGTCTTCTCCATGCTCTGTAACACCTAGAAGCCACCTACAGCAGCATCCTCACCTCCATTCCTGTGCTTCAGAGCCAGACAAACTTCAATAATCTGCACACCCAGTTCGTAGTAGAAGTCACCAACTCCCAGCATCTCTGACCAGAATCCTTTACCAGCTGTAAAATGAGAAAGGGAAAAGTGATGAGACCATCGGCAAAAATATCCTTCCTTAACAAGGAAGGTGCCAAGCAGCCTGCTTGCTCCTTGTGGAGTTGCACGCTCTGTAACCTTGGGAATCAGCAAGACAGAGGGTGTTAGGGAATCCCAGACTACATCACACTTAGACACGAAATACACAGAATCAGGAGTCTGGTTCAGAGGACACTGTCTCCCCCAAAATCAAAATGCCATCGGCTTTTCCCATCAGATTCCCTGAGAAAGGTTTAGTGTATGACAACAGGCAGATGAACCCTCAGCTCATTAAGCCCCTGGTGCCTATTTCTCACATGCCAAAGGATCCACTCCTATTGTTGCACACATATCCTGGAACTGGACCCGGAACTGGGGATTTTTACGGATCTCTTGTTTGTGTTTGCTGGCAAACTCCTCTAAGTTGGTCTTAAACATATCCAGCTGCTTAGACATCTGAAAGACACAATTGCAGAGAAGCATTTCTGTCTTAACCGTAATTTGGTGCATATTTCCTATAAGCATATCATATACCTACCCTCCTCCCCAGAAACTAAGTGCAGGCCTCAAGTAACACGAGGGTCTCTGACCTGCTGCCTCCTGAGCACAGGTGGCCCCGGTGGTCTCAAAGGAAGGAAATGAGTTAAAGTTGCTTGACGGAATCAGGATTCTCTATTTTAACACCGAATACCCGTTTGCATCACGCATCCACGTGGTGCAACGTGTGCCAGGAACAGCCCAGCGCTCCGACGGAGGAGCAAACGGGCACCATTGTCACCCGTCCTCACGGCACCCGGACGCAGGGCTGGACGCGGCCCCACGTTGACCCCCGGCCAGGCGCCCGTGTCCCACCTGGGCCAGCTGGTCCTCGGCCAGCACCGTCCCTCGCTCCTTGTACTTGGCCTGTGGGGGGAAGAGGGAAGCGTGAGGCGCGG